GGGGGGGGCAATGCTGTTCACTGTCTTGTCCGTCTAACTCAGCACCAGTTATCTGGCAGCTGGCTATTTTTACGTCCGCTTGCCTACCTGTCGCCTAGGGGGCGGTTGTCGGACCCTACGAAACGGAGCCATGACGACCTAAACGCGCAATTTAAAGGATCTGTTGCAAAGGAATTCGTGGGTGGCCGGTTTTTAAACAGTACTGCGAACTGGGCACGGCATCGGCATTTAGCGAAAGGGCCTAAAAATAGCTAGCAATTAATCAAGACTTCCGCCCAACAATTGTCGACAAAGCAAGAAATATATGTAGGCTTTGTAGAACAGCAGGGGACGGACCGGATTATGTCAGAGACTGAACCTAACATAGGGTGACTGTTGTCGCAATTTCAACAGACGGCACCACAGGAAAACGTGGAAATACGCGGGAACCTATTGGATAGAAATGGCTCCACAAAACACGGATTTCTGTACAGAATAATCGCGCACTTTAAGAGCACGTGGGGGAAGCCGCCTGCCCTGTCGTTTTAGGATATCATAGGGAAATTTACAAAGGCCTAAGCAGCGCGAAGAGTGCAAGCAAAGTGGTCTAGTGTGTAAGAAATAAATTTTAAAGGTAGGTTTTAAACCTAGAAGTACTTTAGTGTGGCTGTCAAAAGTACAAAGCAAGTCTCGGTATATAATATAAGCCAACAAAGGGAAAAATATTTATATTTGGCATGTTATCAAATGCAGCAGATTAACTAAATACATATTCAGGACGCATTACCATGATATCACGTTAAATCATATTCCTTAGCATGCTCCCATTTGGATGAAGATATTTAAAAGCAGGCCTCCTAGGGATAAGTGTGGGTCCTAGGACTTTCTATTTCAACCGCAACCTTTCAGTGTTATCTGACACTTCGTTAAAAAAATTCGCAATCGTTATAAATGCCATATATTCAATGGTAGATGAACGCTCACCGATCGGTACCCACATCACTCGTTCCGTTGGACCTTGAGACTCGTTCTCTGAGACCAGATGTTTATTAATCGGACGTTTCAAACTCTGACGTGATCCCATTGTTAACGGTATTTAGTTCTCCCGCGCCGAGAATGACCTCCAGCTGAGCCATGGATTGCACCACACAGACTTTAACAAATGGCCGGCGAATCGATATGAGTATTGATCGATTCCACGCTCCCTGCAGTAGGCGTGACACCTGGTCGTTGGACTGGCCTAGGATTCTCACGCACTCGTGGCGAGGATGCACGGACGCTACTTAGGCTATCTTTTTCGTTTCACAGGCACTTCGTGTCACAATTGCAGCCAAATGCTGGCAAGCAGTGAGGCGTTCGCCAGACTAATGAACGACATTGATATCATTCACAAACCAGAAGCTACAATCCACCGGTAACTCATGCATCCTAAGGACCCCATTCCCGTCGATCAGAAGTCTGCTGTCTTTTATCAGATAAAATGTCATTGTGTTCAAGCTGCCTGCTTTGGTGAAACCAGAAAACAGGCTCACAGCAGAGAAAAGTGCGTTACCTCCAGCATACTCTATGTGGTTTCTGTTTTCGAACTCCAGAGAATACTCAAGGTAATAAATTCAGAAATGATAAAGTTCCGACCTGCATGGAGAACGTCGGAGACTCATTGAGGAGCGGAGCCCCTTGCTACTGCATGATGCAGTAGCAGAAACATCTGCGAAACACGGGTTTGGGCTTTTAGTGCAAATATCGAGAGCCACTTTCAACTTGACGGCCTTCATCAGTGAAGGTGCTTCTCTTTATGCAGAATCAGCCGTGTTTGATCTCCCATACAGTAGTTCAGTCCAGTAGTTATTTAAACACCCAATTCACATGAACCACTCGGATGCACTTGGGAATAGCCGAAGTCCATGAGAACTAATTAAACTGATTTATCATGATCGCAGAACAAAAAATAGGTGGAAGCGTTTTTTTTTCTTGAAATTATGGGCACATGACCCCTTTAGGCTGCCGCGGAGCGGTGAGCAGCGCTTTTGCTTAAAAAGAAGCCTCTTTCTCTAATGAATGTGGCCATTCGAGAGGACAACTCTCCCTGTAAAAACAACCGGTGAAAATAAATAGATTGTTGCACGCAGCTCTCAGAAGAGGTTGCATTTTAATTAGAAGGGGATGGCAGAAGTCAATTAACTCAACTGTGAAAAATTCACGGCCTCGGTGGGATTCCGTTTTCTTGATCAAATCAGCAGTATGTGCCCAGTGGCTCCAAAAGAAATGGCGATTGCCTTGGATGTTAATTGGTTACTAATATAGCCGTGCCTACATCGCACATGGGCCAGTACCTTAAGGGCAATATCACTGCCTCTTAAGGTTAACAATTAAACGAGAATTCCAGTGTTCCTTAT